GCTCTCTAAAAGATCATTGATGGGAGCTTTAGAAGAAGGGGATAAGCAGTAATCACTAAGGGGGAGAGAAGATCGCGTGGAGAAAAGAGCCAGGATGGGGGGAAGAATGGATGGATGAATGAATGGATGGAGATGTTCTGGACAGCTAATCTACTACTCGGTATCGCCCGGTACCTGGTACTGCGTAATGTTACCAATCCTGGAGTCACCGCCTTGGCAGCTGACTGTTCCATTACTTCTTTCGGCGTTTGGTCTTCATTCTTGTCCATGCTTGGATAGTTGGAATATTAATCAGTCCACAGTTATGAAAAAGAATTGATGGGATCTTTCTAGATGCAGGTCACGAGATCATCTACAGACTTATATGTAGAGAAAGTCTGAAGCTTCTGGAAGCTTATTATACTTTGCTTATTGACGTGTTACTCGTCTTCCTCTCCACTTGATCAGGTGACGGAGAGCTGGCCGGCATCCGGTGTGATTGACAGCTCCGTCATCGGTCACCGATTATCAGCTTCGATGGACGGAAAGTCCAGATCATATCAATCAGACAGTATAAATAATTTGTTGGACGGGCTCTGGATAAAGCTCAAGCAACTCGACAGAACCGCTCCATTAGTTTGGACATCCATCCAAGCCGGAAATGAGCTAAGGCTTCCTTTTCCCTGTCTAGACTATCTCACCAATGGCTTCTCCACGGACACTATTCACGGCCAGCCGCGTGCAAACATGGACCTACCTGCTTGGCGTGTGTCCATTCTCGATTGCATTCCTGGTCTTCATCAACTCGTCCATCTCATTTGTCGTCACGGAATTAATTGGACTCCGTGACGGAGAAGGTGATGCGGTCGGAACCTTGGGCTTTGCCGACGAACTGCTTGCCCTGGTCGCCTGCCCCTTGTGGGGAGTGCTGTCGGATCGCATCGGCGTCCGTCATGTAAGCGCTCACCCCGTTGCTATTTCCCCCCTCCCCCCAGTACCAGTTCACTTGTTGTAAATTTTCTCATACATTGTGTCTTTTACACAGGTCTGCACTACCGGCTATGCTATTGTGGCGCTTGCCTTGGTCCTCTTCGTTCAGGCGAAAAATGTCTACCCCCAGTTACTCCTGGGAAGGCTGTTGTTCAGTCTTGGAGGCGCCGCAGTATCAACAATGGTCACGGCAGTTCTTCCAGCCGTAGCCGGCTCACACTCATCCTCACAGCATCAATCTACATCAGACCCCCGGACGAGTAAGAGCTCATCCTCCCGACTGGCTGGATATGTAGGCATGTGTGCGGGATGTGGCGCGCTCGTCGCTCTCGTCATCTTCCTGCCCCTTCCAGCTCGTTTTCAGCAATCAGGACTTTCCCCTGCGGAAGCTATCCAGCGCAGCTACTATCTCGTGGCTGTGGTGTCTCTAGTCATCAGTATCCTCTGTTTCTTTGGGCTGAGAAACCTCCCCGGAGAAGAGGGCAAGTCATGGAGCTCGCTGTGGTCCGCAAGTCGGCGCGGGACGCCGGATAGCGGCGAGGCGTGTTCGTATGCTCGCAAATTCCAATTGCCGTACCTCGAGCAGCTGGGAATCGCGTTCGCCCTGGGATTCCGAAATTCAGATATATTTCTGGGCTACTTCGGCGGGTTCGTGGCGCGTGCGTCGTCCGTGGGGATCTCGCTGTTCATCCCGCTCGCTGTTAACCACTATTATCGCATGTCGGGGCTGTGCGGGAACCAAGATGGCGAGGCTGAGAACCCTGGCGATCTAAAAAAGTCATGCCATAAAGCCTATGTGCTCGCTTCGATTTTGACAGGGGTTTCTCAGCTAGTCGCGCTGCTTGCAGCGCCAGCCTTCGGCTATCTGTCGGAGCGATCGCGGCGCCGTCACGTGCCGCTTTTGGCAGCTTGCTTTGCCGGCCTTGTGGGCTATACCACGTTTGCCTTGCTGCCCAGCCCGGAATTCAGTGGGGAGAATGGCAGCCCCGGTGTATTTGTAGTGATGGGCTTGGTTGGTATCAGCCAAATTGGGGCGATTGTCTGCAGTCTATCAGTGCTGAGCAGCGGTATTCTCAGTTTGAGCGAGGTAGGTAGGATGGAAGATCACTGGTGGAGTTCACCGAGTGAACCCAGCGAAGATGAGGGTGAGGATGAGGAGGAAAACGAGAACAACCCAGTCGACGACGAGGAAGAGGAGCACGGAGAAGACCGACCTCTCGTGGCCCATCGTCCTGGCCGGAAAGAGCGGCATCTTTCGCACCTGAAGGGCTCAATTGCTGGGGTATATTCCCTGTACGGTGGAGCGGGTATCCTGCTCTTGACCAAGCTGGGTGGGCTCTTGTTCGATGTGCTGTCGTCGGGAGCACCGTTCTACATCATGGCTGGGTTCAATGGGGCATTGCTGCTGGCAGGCCTGGTGAGTGGATTCATTGGGCACTCACGATCCGCTGGACCAGCTGGGTTCGGTGTGTAGTAGCGTCTCCATTGATATGTGTTTCTTTGTCTAGGAGACAAGGATTCAACGCAGTAGCCCGGCTGCTAAAAGAATTAGTATAAATTTGTTTAGTGTGAACGATGAGCCGCAGCCGGCGCCTGTAGTCTACCGTGGCTCAGTTCGACTAAACATCAAGTCTAGTCATGAGTATTTGTTTGTTGCGGCGCTTTGAAACGAAGAAATTCGGCCCCCACGTCTGGCCCCAGTTTGGCTGCCGTGCCTCCGTTTCACGGAGAGATCAGGAGAAGTGAGAATGAACCAAAAGAAAAACTCTTGTACTATGAATCGAAATTACTATTTGGTTTTCGAGGGCGTGGAAGAATTCTTGCCATGATCTTGAGGGAGATCCTCGATCCATCTAATTCCCCCGGCTCCATCAGCAGTTCCACCAGACAACATCCACCACCACCACATCCAAGAACCTCCATCGGTCAGCGCTTACAGGTTCTTCTCTAGGCTGTGTTGTTAGTTTCTCAGCGCCCATTAGTGCGAGAGGGTCTGCTTCCTGGCTATGGCCAATTGGGCAATTGCACTGCGATGTTTGACTGCGCCCCCAACAGCGCTTGATGCCAGACCCTGTCCATCTCCAACCCTCTCAGCCTCGCCGCCATTTGCCCGTCTGCCTTCCAACACGCCAGGGGAGAGGAAAAAATGGATTTCGCCCCCATGGCCCTGGACCCCATCCTGACGGGCCTTTATTTACCTCGTCATGCCCAGCGAACATGTTCCAAGACAATCTCAATCCAAATCAACTCTTATCCTTCTTTCTCTCCTCTTTCTCCCAAGTCCTCATTGTCTCTAAGTCTTCATCCATACAGCCCTAGATACCCTCCTCCCTAATTCAACCATATAATCACACATCATGCGTCTCCAATTGACTACCTCTCTGGCTCTCCTGGCCACTGCCTCCACCGTCGTCGCTGACGATGTCGTCTCGGTCCTCTGGCCCTCCTCCGCCAGCGGCGAGAACTACAACGCCAAGCTGATTGGAACCGTACGTCTTCTCCAAACACCCCTTCTTCCCACCATCGTATGCTTCCTCAGATCTAACTCTCAAATAGACCGGCGGCAGCCTCACCACTCTGGTCATCAACTGCCCGGCGACAGCCAGCGGCTCCGTGACCAGCGCTCCCGCTGCCACCGCCGCAACCACCAGCGCCGCCGTCGTCAAGCGTGCTACCACCGCCTCCAGCTCTGACGATGACGATGACGATGACTTCAACGACAGCTGCAACATCCCCGACAGCGGCGAGACCCTGACGGTCGGCAGCAGCACATGGGCCTTCACTTCCTCCGGTAACCAATTGTAAGCTAACCCACATGCCTGGCCCCCACAACTCCATATAATATCTGTCTGTATACTTACCACACAAAACAACAGCTCCGAACAGGCTACCTGCTCCTTCACCGGCACCACTGTCGCTTCTTGCGCCTTCACCTACAACATTGACACCCAGACTTCCTCCTCCAGCGGTGTTACCACCGCCCAGCTCAACAAGGTCCCCATCACCATCACTTCTACTGCCTCTGCCACTGGCACTGCTACCGGTGGTGCCTCCACCGCCTCTGCTACCGGTAATGCCTCTGGCTCTTCTTCCGCCGCCTCTACCGGCGCTGCTACTACCACCAGTGACAGCGGTGCGTTCGCTACTGGCGCTAGCCAGTGGGTTGCTGGTGGTGCTGCCATGATGGTTGCTCTCGCTATGGCTTAAGCTGGCCATTTATCTATGAGCCGTGGAAGTAGAGACGTGAGTTTTTCCGTAAAAGGAAGCAAAGTGGTTATGGTATATCAGAAAAGGATATACAACATACACTACACAATGTCAGCATATAAACCCTGCATTTAGAACTGCGCGCAAGCTGGATGGGAAAATGAGGCGTGGTGGATTGATGATCATGTACCACAAGTGAAGAATGGGGTTTCCTTTTTTTATTTTTTTATATTCTATATGTCTATCTATTTACTACTACTATTACTACCCTTATTGATGTGTTTATTATGATCCTAATCACTCAATATTATTGTCATGTCAATTGATACCATCCGAGTTGAGATATGTTTACACTTTGTAGCAGATATACTTTGATAATATCAGGGAAGAGGTTCTAGATAGTACTACTTACTATAAGCGTGTCTCAAGACTTCTTTCAACTACTCATCCACCAATTATAGACAGTTTGAACACCTTGCATGTGTTTCTTACTACATACCATATACACACAGGGAAATGAAGAATTCATAACACTAAATGGGTTTTTTTTCTTGAAATGACAGGATGACTCTCTATTCAATGGATGACTTGATGTTTCTCGGGATCAGAATGATCTAAAAGTCCATGTCTTTATCTGTTTCCAACCAAGCGAATAGGAGCCAATCAATCTTCCACACTACAACCACAGCGTTTCTTCAAGAAACTAGTACTACATACATGTCTGTCTGAAAAAAAAAAAAAAAATCGGGTACTCTACTTCATCACATTACGTGAACCCATCCAACGTTGTTGTACGAGAGGAAGTACCTCAAATAGCTAATGGTAATTTGATAATCTTTGTCGTATCTCATTCATCAGCTGACTGGCTGGCTGGCTAACTGGCTAGTAGCATTACATGACCCCCGGACCGCGCGGAAGGAAATTGCCAAAGGTATCCCCACCCTTTCCCCGGTCATCTCTCGGCCGTCGCTCGTCTGAACGGACCTCCAGTCCAGCTTGGATAATATTAGTCCGCAGAACGCGAATATGTGCTTCACGGATGTAATTATCCAAGCTATCCAGGATGGACCGCTGGACGTCGGTGCGCAAGTTGACCTGGTTGGAGACCAGCACCTTCTTTTCCAAGTCGATGCGCGCGTCGAGGGTGCCATCCTGAATCAGTTCGATGAGCTCCTGCACGAAGGGAGAATTGGAGTCTGTGGGGTCGGCTTGGCCGCCTATGACTCCCGGGGCGAACATTTTCGTCATGGATTCGAGGGTCACGCGGCTGAAGGGTACGAGATACTGTTGGATGGACTTGGTGCGGATGCGCGTAAACAGTGTCTTCACATGACGCTGTAGGTGGACGTCGAGGAGGTAGTCGGCCTTGTAGGCTTCTAGGATCTCGAGACAGGCTCTGAATTTAGAGTTGCAGAAGAATGAGATCGCCCGGCGGATGTGCGGCTCCAGCTCAAGGAAGTTGCGGAATGAATTGTTGTCGAGGACGCGACGTTGTAGCTCATTGCGGTCCATTGATGCCAGGGCGCAGAGCCCACCGTATACTGCAACGTCGTTTGAGGTGAGTACTTCGTTGTAAGAGTCTCCTAAGCTCGGATCGGTGGCCAAGAAGCTGTTCGCAGCATCCACATATGCACCAGAGTGTAGCTGGGAAAGGCCCAGCGCAGCAGACATCTTGGGCTCGTTTTTGGCTTGCTCCTCTTGCTTCGATTGCAGGTTGCGTAGCCGGTGCACATTCGTCTGCACACTGAGCCAGTCGCCGCGCTCAATTGCGACATTAATAATCTTGAACAGCATCGACGCAATGTGCGTTGGTGTGGTACAATAGTCCCTCATACGAGAGTATGCTTTGGAAGCCGACACAAGGTCACCTATCTGATTGTAATGTTGCCCGAGGTCTTCGTTGCCCATCTATAAGCAGTCAGGAAACAGTTTCCAGTCACCTCACCAGAGCCATCTTAACGTACCCTTATGCTCTCTTTGATCAGGTTGTTCTTATAGCCTCTGAGCTCGTGTTCTAGTCGATCTGTTTCCGCCTTGACAGACTTCTTCATATGATCCACCCAGTTTGTATCAAGCGTTGCCTCAGGGTCACCGGGTGCAACTTCGGCAAGTGCCCGAACTGCATTTTCGTATCTGGAAACATCCCTGCCGCCCTTGGCTTCTGCAACTGCGGCCTTCAATGCCTCGACAGAGAGATAAGTGGAGCATGTGCCTATGAGGAACAGTCGATTGAATCTGGTTCGGCCTAGGAGAAAGAAGCGGGGTTAGCCACAGCAAGGAGCGCGTGTGATCTAAGGCGTAACGTACCGGTGTAGTTCGCAATATATGACTCGAGTTCAAACTTAGGCGGATCTAGAAAATGAGAGTTATTCATCGCTGTTCCTTTGGATCAATCCAACAGAGCCAACATACCATCAACTTTCACCAGAGGACCTGCTACATTTCCACCCAAAGACTCTAAGTCCACGCCCCCGGCACCAGTGACTGACCCAGCACTTTGAGCTGGAACAGCCCCATAGAAAGGGTCTGACTGCGTGTAATCCATGTCGTCAATTCCGTGCGGCTTTCGGCTACTGACACGCGAGGTAATATAGAACGATGTGTGGGGCCAAGAGCAAATCGAATGAAGAGATGTGTTCGGTCCGTAGCCTCCGGAAGTGTAGTCGAGTATCCACGAAACTCCTGACGTTGAAATGCAGTAAATCAGGTGTGATAACGCCGCACAGGTAGAGGCGAAGTGGAGAACAAGCGGGTCTTTGAGGTGTAGGCGTCCGCGGGTGTCAGGAAACGGCTTCGTTCAAGTTCATAGATGGTGATCCAGCAAGATCAGCCACTCAGCAGTATGAAGGGCAATCTGCAAATCAAAACAGCAGTATGCAAGCCGGCAGGGTGGGATGTGCGGGTGAGATGATCTATCGCAAAGGTCACCGACGGCCGCATCATTTGGCCCGATCTATCGACGTAGCTGCCTAGGCTGCGTTCACCGCCTTAATGACCGCCTCGTAGCTACCCTTAGACTTCATTCCTCAGGCCACCATCAGGCCAGTGGCTCCTGCATACTAACTGGTCTCCAGTTGCTACACGAATTCCTGGTTGTACCTAGATAGTCACGCCCAATATGGTAAGTTCTTTTCAGGCTGTATCTCTAGATACAAAGTCTCTCCCGAATATCCCTTGCAGCGGTTCGCAGCTATTCTGCGTTACCATTAGGTTCGCAACAGTCTTCGCAACAGTCCATGTCCCCACTAAAAGCCCTAGAAACACTGCGAAGAGGTAGCTGTGCTGCAAAACAACTGTCATGTATAGTGACGAAGATGGAGCTGCCTCCAAGGAAAGCGAAGCAGCCTATAACGCCCGCATTCGGCTACTGGTAACGTTGACCTCGTTCCTCTCATGGCTGGGACTTGCAGCAGCTGTCACAGACGTTGCGAATTATCGAGTGAGATTCCTCCAGTCCTTCCTGGTCACAAGAGGACTTGCTACACAATAGTAAACAACTCTGCGCAGTGATTTTCGATTATTTCGTTAGTCTGACTTGAGTTTATCACCACGAAATCATCAGCTGTGTCGAGCGTATCGAGAACGATCAGATCATCCGCAGATTCTGACCGACTAGAGAGAATTGCAATCAGTATAATTCTCTACCATACTCCACATGGGGCCTACCTGGCATCTAATGCGTTTGTACTAATTTCAAGCTCTCTTCTGGCGTGTTATTACGGAGATCGGCACCAAAGAATGGGATTATACTTACTCGACACCCATGGTCACGTCAGTGTCACTAATACAACAGTCAGATAATCATTCTTCAAGTAGCATGGCTTCGAAACAACATACCTAGTTGCAGTTGGGACTGATGATACGCTCTCTGCCTCAGGGGCAGGTAGGCTCGGTAGGTGGTGAGCAGGCAACGTCATTTCTTCCCCTGGAATGACTTGGGCATTCGCGGGGCCAGAGGTCAGTCTTAACCAGCTTAATTAGTGAGAACATAGAATAAGGGATCATGGACCACCTACGCAGTCGGGGGAATAGCAGGCAGTCTCAGCATGGTTGATGGAACACTTATCCCATCAGTCACCATATTTCAGGAAAGAATCATGTATCTTACCTGCGCATTGATGCGGCAGCATGGATAGGACCGCGTCGGCTCTATATCAGATGGCCTTAGCATAAGCTCATGGCTAGCCCCTGTCAAATAGCTGCAGAGTACATACAATATCTAGAGCATGATTTCCACGCCTTGCCTGAACAGATGTACTCAGCACTGTGCAATTTTGACAATTCAGCTCACGGAGTACTTACAACATCCGTGATTCTTGCTCGAACACGCTCGCGCCGTCTTATAGCTCGCCTTCTGTTTCTGTTACGACGGGTCACGATTCTATCGAGAGCTCTTTGAGTTTCCGTGAGGTTAACTCTGGTTCCAGGCCGGTGCGATACCATGAGAGACTGCACGAGAATTAGTAGCCGCGCTGTAACAGCCAGTTCAACGTACAAGTTCATAGAGGCCCCGACAAAGTGTAAGGAAGTTACAATGCGTATCTTCGTGACCAGGTCTGGAGCAAAAACGACAGAAACGGGATCCCTAAAGTAGCTGTTAGAGTAGGATTGTAGCTGACGATGAGGACTGCTCTTACGCGGTCACCAGGCATCTTGATTATGCAGAAAGCGAAACTCACGACGCCTAACCTCAAAGACGACGATAAGGTGGTCAGACACAAGACAAGGCAAAGAGCACCTTGGCGGCTATTGCTCGTTCTCTCAGACTCAAGATTTAAATGGAAGGTTGTTATGGGATGAGAGATAGCTTTAAGAAACGAGAGGTGATCAAGAGACCCGAGTAGTAGCCGGAGATGAAATAAATGATCGTGTCCTTTCGATGTGTGAGAGAAGTAGAAGACTGTCCCCGAGGGAGAAATAGAACCAGTGCAAGGAGAGGTGTTGCAAAGGAAGAAGTGAATGGGTTCCGTGTCGACCAAACTGGCAGGAACACTGGGGTGACCTGCCCCGGCCAACCAGAGACCCCAATACTTGGAGAAGAGAGGTTGTTGTTGCTCTGAGTGCGGATATTGTTGACCTCTCTGAGAAAAAAGGATGCACATAAGTCATGCTTTGTGGGAAGAAAGTCAAGTAAAAGTTGAGTAAATCTCGTCCCAGTCGTCGACAGTGACCCTCTTATTGGTAGAATGTCCCAGGAAGAACAGTATTAGTACATCAAGAGCAAAAGGTGGAGAACTTCTTCTTTCAAGGAGTGTTAAGAATCTGTAAATGACCATCATGCGGTACATCTCCACTCAAATTCGACTCACTTTGTCTTCACCACACTGCTGCGTTCTGACTCAAAAGCAACAAATGCCCAGGGATACCTTTCGGGGATAATCAGTCGCTCGTCTCGCAACATAGCTATCAGTAGATGCCATCCCCTGCAGCCTTTTGCTCCCAGCTGGCTAAATTGTTTGTATCTCATTTGGACATCAGAAACTGCGCACTACTGCCTCGAATGTAGCACGCCTGGGTCAAAGTCTCTATTAGATCTGGAAAGAGTGGATGGTCTCATGGATTCCCATTACATAAATTGTGTCGACTTTGAAAGAAGACGCTCCATCAATTAGCTGCGAGCGCTCTCAGTGAAGAAAGAAGCTTATTTCAGAGATCAACAAAACATGCGCGAAAAGTGACTATTACATAGATCCGGTATACCCCATTACAAATGTTCCAACCGTGGACTTGGTAGAGATGGCATTAACTTCATACTGACTTGTAGCCTGGTCTCAAAGCAATGTCGTAAACCCAGCCAGGAAAGCTCCCACAACTACAACCAGGCCATATATCTGACCAAGGTCAGTTGACGGCCTGGCTGCTGCTCCCTTATCAGGGACTCCAGTAAATGGCGGAAGGGAAGTTGTGGCTGCGGCAGTAGTGGAAGCAGCGGTAGACGTGACGTTTACACGCTTGGGGTTCTGTGCACCACAGGGGTGCTCAGACCGGCAGTTTGACTGGCAGCTCGAGTCACCATTGCAATTCGTGACACATTCGTCATTCTCTTCAGTGCAAATAAAGTATGGGATGGTCTGTGAGTACTGAGATGAGTTGGGACTCAGGCCATTGCTACAGATGCACTGGTATTGGAGAGTTTTCTGCATTCAAACAGCATTGCATCAGTCAAGATGAAGTACATTGGATAGATAGGTTAATCATTCGCACTTACAGCGTCGCATGTGTTTTCTTTGGGTGAGCCCGATGCGTTTGGCAATTGATAACAAAGTAATGGACATGACGAGGTCTGAGACTGACACCATTGGTCTATCGTTACACAGTCAGATGAGACATTTGGCACCATAGTATAGCCTGCAGAGAGAACATACTTCTTGTCTGGATCGGGACGCTATTGGGGTCAATGGAGGAGGAGGTGTTTTGCGAGAGAACCAGGCCAACCACGGAGGTTATAGCAATGAGGGGACGGAGGAGAAGCATATCGAGTGGCGTAAAAGCGGTGGGTACGACAGCGGAACTTGAGGGATACTGAAAGAAAGGACCTTGAACTGTGACGACGATGCAAGATGTCAGTGTTGATCTCTGTAACTAATGAATGGGAATCTGGGAGATATGATAGCCTCGCACATACGTGTTCAGTCTAAGGCAGCTTGAAGTGTAGTAGAGTTTTGGACAGGTAGGGTAGTATGCCAATTTGATGGAGTGAGCTGCTAGTGATATCAACAACGGGGAACTCAAATAGGAAATTAGCAAGAGCTCAGGACTGCCAGAGGGAGAACCGAGAGAAAAGAAATTAGAAAGCCAAGAGGGCAAGCGATAAATGGTGAAAAAGCTGGCGCTCCAAGCTCGGTATAAGTATTCACGCACACCGTACTACTTTTCGCCCGTTACGCGAGGTCAGCTTGGGGTGGTGGCGGCGCTATCAGTTCCCTAAAGCTCCAGACGGCTTCTTCTGGATCCAGCCATCAAATTCCAGGCCGGGTTGGCAAGAGCTAAGTGAGTGGCTAGTCTCCTTCTTTCTTATTTTCTTTTCATGACTGGAATTCGGTCCCATTGACCGTATGACTCTTTACCCACAGGGGGAATGACAACGACGGGGCCAAAACAGGTTGAAGACAGAGGCGAGGGAGCAAGACAAGAAACGCCGGAAGAGAGTCCGGTCGAGTTGGTACCACTAGCCGATTGGAAAGTCATCTAGCAAAAGCTCCATACAGTACGATAGCAGATAGGACTAAGTTTCTGTCTGAACCCTCGGTGACGGGTTGCAATATCGATTTAGCCTGTCAGGTAACATGGCCCCTCTTTCCTCCCTGCTTGCTTTGCTGCTATGTTTAGTTATCGTTCAGCCATTGACTGCAGGTTTGGGAGAATTTGCCAGCGCGCCTGACTTCTGCATGGAACAGAAAGCAGCAGACCAGCCTCTGATGGTGTGAGGATGTCTCAGAAAGAGACCCAGTTGATAGGGTGAATCTTTCCAGATGGCTGACAGCCGACGGGGACGGGGAAAGCAACCGCACCTCGGCTGGAGCAGGATTGGGGGGGAAGGGAACCCGCATTGTCTCAGTTGAAGGACCCCGACTGGGCGATCCTCCATTACTGGAGAATGCCTGATTGGGCAAGGCTACTCTTGGCTTTTTCTAGCGTGGACCCTGGTCACTAGCCCTAGTTGGGACTAGGAGGAATGAACTAGTCTGCGCCAAATTGGCTAGCGGGAAATAATGCGGCCGGAATTGGATTATCCAGATTAACTAGTCTAATCCTGAGAGATTTTGAGTCTTGCTTCTGCTGCACAAAGAAAGCTTCCTGCGTGACCTTTTTTTGGGTCTCATTTTTGATGCAGAATGGAGATCTCTTTCAAACAAAAAGCATAACCTTCGAACTAGATGTCTTGTGGTAATTTATCATACTTTCACCCATACCAAACAGACCTACAGTAACTACAGTATGTCTTTGCGGGTGCTAGATAAGCAGCACATGACTCGCTCCTTCTGGGAAGGCGTTGGGCGACGTGGTCCCGTGATCCCCGTTGGCTCCTTTCGGAACACGGAGCGTGGCCGGTGCAATGGCTTGATATCGATCGTCAATCCATGGGCTTCAAGCAGCAATCCCTCCCCCGTCTGAGACATTCTATCTTATCAATATCCCTTCCCCCTCCTTTCAGAGTCTCCGCTTCTCTCACTCTCGGGTATCATACCGAGCTATACCTGACCTAAACCCGGGCTGACACCCTGTGGCTTTGAAACGCAGTACACAGACCTCCTGTTGTACCAGCAAGCTTCACTAGTAATTCCCGTAAGTGACCAAACATTTAGCCATCCCCCGCCACTCATCTCCTCTTTCGTGGTTGCACGCCGTTTACCAACCTATTATTAGTGACAGCCAGGCTCGCATTTGTCCCGTCCACCGAATATCTAGATGGATGGAGCCAGCGAATGAGGACATCGCCTCCGTGCCTCCGCACCAACCTCGCCCTTCCTCACCTACCCAATCCTCGTCCCCTCCTTCGGACATCATAAACAATGATACTATAGCTGCATCCCTTTCCGACGGGGTCGCTGTGAGCAACGGATCGATCCTTCCTCGGGCACAGGACCTCTCCAATAAGGACCGTCCGGTGTCTGGCATAGTTCCGCCGTATTGGAGTCACCATAGAAACGCATCCAGGGCTTCACACATCTCTCTCGACCAGGCGCCAGGCATTACACTAGAGGACCATACAGAGGATCCAGATTGCGAGACTAGTCGTGGTTTGTGGGCGAAAAGTGTGGTTGTCGATGATCATGTCGTCGTACAAGGCAAGACGGGCATCGGATCCTATGTCGTGTGGAATTGCAGGATACAGACACTGGATGTACGTCAGCGTTCTCTCTCCAGGCTCTCGTCATTGCTATGCGATGCTATCTCACCATGCTCTTAGGAGATCTATGCGCTAATGACTTGCAGGGTGGTCCCATCACCGTTCGTTTAAGGTGAGCTTGGGAAATGCACTCAATCGTTGGTCTTTGCTAATATTTCTGTCCCTAGATACTCCGAATTCGACGACTTGCGACAACGATTGGTGGCATCCTTCCCACATGCGAAGAATGCCTTACCTCCTCTTCCTCCCAAGAGCGTTATATGTACGTCTGAGACAATCCACACGAGTCATGAGGCTGACTGACGGATGACACCCAGTCAAATTTCGCCCTTCGTTTCTTGAGTCCCGCAGGGTTGGATTGGAATATTTCTTGAAGTAAGCAGCAGGAACATGGTTTTTGTCCGTGGCTGATAGCTAACATCAATCGGCATAGCTGTGTCCTCTTGAACCCCGAATTTTCCAGCTCACCAGTCGTCAAAGATTTCTTATTCGGGAGACTGTGTTAATCTCAGCATATCACTGAAGTCAATATCTAGCTACACCTATTTGATATAACGGACTCGACGATGTTAACGCCTGCCTCGGATAATTATTGCATTGGGTGACCATCCAAGTAGGGACAACAACCCCTGCAAATGTAGGGTCGAAATCGACTAGACAAGCGATAGCACTAATGCAGCCTTTGAGCTGCTATATATTAATGCTCAAAGTTTACCCCATTCATCTGGACGGTAGCAGATGCATCTTCACTTGCAGCTGAAGGGGCCGTCTTGCTTACGAAACTGAAATTGAAGGATCGAAGCTCTGAGAGGCTTAGAGACCGCTAATCATCTTTCCACAATTCGTCCATCGGACGCTACATGTGGCCGCCATATTTCCTATTGCGGATATGGGCGTTTAATTGACTTCTAGCTCAGTACTCAGAACAATCATGACTTGACTTTCAACACGTCAGCCACCTTGCACTGCAGGCATGCAAGAATTGCGACGCTGTTATTACATTTACTTTCTCCCGCCATCCGCAATGCATATGCACAGTATACTTTACTTAGCGTCAAGGATTTAAATTAGCCTCAATGGCCATAAATAGCCATATATGCATGTACGGGGCACATGCAGTATCATAGTCCAGAACAACCCAATTATTCCTAATAAATACACAATCATAGATCATAAATTCAATCTTGACTAAACCTCAGTCAATCCACGCAAGACAAAAATCCAAACCACAAACTCAGCTCTTCCCCACAAGATCAACCACCACCGCCTGCGAAGCATTCATCTCTTCTTCCCTTACCTTCTCCATCCGTCTCGAATACTTCTTCCCTGCCACAATCCACCACAATAGTTCTAGCAGCAGGAACCCACCGACACATACACACGTATAATTCATATTCGAGGCTGTCATGTAGAAGTTAGCACGGATAAGATCTGACATCAACACAAATTAGAAACAAAGGTATCATTTATAACTCACCAGTAACAGGCATATCATAAGGAAATGAGAAAAACACAATAGCAAAGACCAGCCACGCAACAGTGATGATATTGACCGTCATTCCTGCTGCGTATCCCAATGAGAATG